ACCAAACCACCAATATCTTATCAGAGGAAATATTACTGGAAACATTATATCCAGATGCATCAGCAAGAGCAATAGGAGTGATACCAGTGATGATACTACGAAAATCTTGTAAACCAGTAGCGGAAGACTCTTTCAATCTTTCAAAGAAAGAACGAATTGGTGAAGATGTTGGATCTCCTCTCTTTCCTTCAACTATTAATTGATATTTTTCAGGATTTTCAAATATTAATTTGTTTGCAAATCTATCATATTCATCAATTAATACCATTAATTTGCCTTTTCTCTTGACTAAAAGTTGGATAAGTTTTTGATAAGTATCAAATGAATCATTTTGATTAATGCTAACCTCACCACCCATACCATAACATTCCAAAAATCCTTCAATGGTTGTATTGATTTTTGTGTGAAGTCGTTGATTAATATCATCAGCAGTACCATCAACTTGAATAGAAAAATCTAACTTTAAAACATAATATTGATTCTTTCCAGGTGTCCAATTCTGTTCATCACCAATCCATAAACCAGAAAATAATTCATCAAATTCATCTTTCTTGTTAATATCATAATATGATGAAAGCATTGATAATAATAGTGATTTTCCCCATCTCGGAGGACGAACAAAAAATAATTGTTTTCCACTTTCTTCTAATAGAGGAATTAAATTAGTTTTATCAACATAAAATTGTTTACTTCTTCTGATGGAAGCAAAATCTGATTCACCATATGGAAAATATGGCACCAACAAATTTCCGTCACCAATATTTTTAAATTTAATATTTTCAACATTATTTGTTGTTGGTTTTAATGTATTTGAATAGTTTTTAGTTTGATTCACTCTATTAATTGTAAACTTGTTAATATCATTAGTTAAATTATTAATTTTTAATATTGATCTGTTGATTTTGGGTGATGCAGTAAATAACTGCAATCTATTGATTTTACGAAGGAAGGTACCTTGTTTCATATTTTTGATGATTTTTTTTTTAAGCTATTTGATGGTGTGGAAGAGGAAATCCTACAAAGTTACATTGTTGGTGTTTATTTTAGCTTCATTGCTTATTGGTTGCGTTGCATGTGCTACCCGTTATGAATATTGGGTCATGTTCAACAAGTACATGTTGTTGCGCTACTCTGAA